AATATTTATTACACGACTCGGGCAGTCAGAGGGCCAATAACTAAAATCAACCAATCAAAATGCTCTATTGCCGGTCAATATTCTCTCAGTATTGGACCGGGCACTGTCCCGAATGGTCCCGAATGATACCGCACTTGTGTCCCTTTGAACTTCAGTCGTATAATAAATCTCTTATTAACCAAGCTTGCTCGGGACCGTACTGGAAGAATATCGGCCCTTGGTCTTTTTTGTACGGACCTCGCTGCGCTCGGTCCGTACTGTCAAGACCTCGGGCCGATATTCTCCCAGTACGGCCCTCGCGCTTGGTTAATAAGATATATGTCACAATCGGTATAAAGTACAATATTTTAGGCCGTATATTGTTTCAAACTAGATCAATTTCAATGAACCGTTGACATTACTTTTATTCTGGTTTAACTTAATAAGCGGTTCTCGACGGCAGGTTGCAAACATATTATATAAGCCAAGAATTAAAATAGTTGATAACCCCTTAACTTAAAGGGATGATAAAATTCAAAACGACTTTAAAGCGTTTCTAGATTTCGCTTCTAAATGAAAATAAAGGAACGTGCGGGAAAAGAAAAAACATAAGAAAGACCTTCGATAAATGAAGAATCAACGGCCTCTTGAACTAATGAAATTGTATTAAGGGACCGGTCATTATTTATCGCCTGTTTGATCCCCCCTCCGTTTTCCCTAGAAGCTATGTGCTCCTAACAACGTATTGCATTTTAAAAGTCTCTGCAAGTGCAACTGATGGAAATGCATTAGCAATTAAAAAACTGAAATTATTTAAATGCGGTATACTAATACTTTTTCTTAACGTCAGGTCCACGTTGCCAGATGCTTGGTTTTCAAGAATGGTGTGTCCCCGTCAGATGTCGTTATCTTATCGCCTTACAGAGAACAACGCGAAAGAATAAGCAAGGCATTGGAAGGAAATATAATATCCAAAAAGATTCTCGTCACAACCATCACAAAAAGCCAAGGTAAATCTTAGTAGCAATTTAGAATGCTTGTGCTCAACGATTATATTTTACTTTAATTTAATCTTTTAACGGAATTGTAAACTTGAGGACTTTTGGGCTTCATCCTTAAAATTGACCGTGCATCTTAAACGCTTCTATACTGTTTTGCCTCTTTGAGAATTCAAATATGTTGTTACGTGTTGTCTGTATTCCCACATTTTAAATAGTTTGTCTTCTAGAAGAATTCCAAGTATAAAAACAAAAACAAGATTAATTTTTACCTACTTTTGTTGCTCAAGCATACGAATTATCAACAAAATACGATTTTTTACAATACTCTCATTCAATAAAAGATAATGATGCAAGTCTTTTCATTTCGCGATTTATCTAAACAGGTTTAGAATTACGCAAAAAAGAGCCAAGAGCATTTCATTACCAACTGAAATTGACTCAGAGTATTCAGAAGTAGGACTTAAAACATACACCATAAACTTGTGGGTTCAATTACATCGAAATTTGGCACCTTGCGACTTAATTGACAAACCCTTGACCCAAAATTTTCCTTCTCAACCCCCATCCCCATTCCCCTTTCCCCTCCCAAATGAGTAATGACTGATCTCATATTGCTGTAAGCAAACCCTTCAAAAACCTTTGAAGAAATTTAACAAAGTGTAGGGAAGTACAATTAATGAATAAACTGGAGCTCCGATTTTAGGCTTGGCTAAATCAATAATAAATATGTAGTAAACCAATTTTAAGAGTTAGATACTCCTTACATTTTGAACGCTGCGAAATTTTTACAATTGTATTTTCACTCCTAATATTTGACAAATTTCATGTCATGCAGGAAGTGAATGGGACTATGTGATCTTATCTCTGGTGCGCTCGCTGAATAAAGACGATCTCGAACCAGATCCTTCTCTGCATTGGTTACGTGAACATTTGGGGTTTTTGACGGATGAGCATCAAATGAACGTGGGGCTCACGAGAGCACGTAAAGGGCTCTGCATCATTGGTGAGAAAGAGATATATCATACTCAGGTCATAGCTTGTAACTAAAACAGCTATAAAGCAGGTACAATGTAAATTATTCAGTGAGATTAAACGATCCAAGGAATTAACACCGACTTCAAGTTGTAATTCAAAATTTTTACAAAGTTCTTAAAATTCGAGTGAAAATATTTCTTTAAAAATAATTTGCTTCTGAAACCTGTACCAAAAATTTTGGATAACGCAAGATCAAGCAGGCTTTGGCAGACAAACACATTCATTGATTTTTATAAAATCTGGTAAATTAAACCACACCCAACGTCACTACTTCAAAAGGGCCTGCCAATTTTCTAATTTTTATTTTCATACTCATCTTTTTTGTGATCTTTCTTATTTTTTTCATTTAGGTAACAAGAACCTACTAATGCACCATCCCATGTGGGAAAAGTTGATAGATTTCTACGTAAAGAAAAAGTGCATCGTAAATGAATCTGCCTGGCCTAAAAGCTGAAGCTACGTTAATCTGACAATTACTCAATTCTAAACCGCACTTTCCGGTCCTTAGGGAACAAGGGGTTTTGTATGAGAAACGTTTCAACATCTGTTCGGTTCAGGGAAGTTAAGGGTGTGCAGATCACAACATAGATGATTCAAAGCATTGACAATAAAGAATAAGAGGGAGATTAATCCAGGCAGTAAGGTTAATCTATTCGAGAATTTATTAGAAATCAGTTAGACAGAGAGTTAAAAAAAGGAATGCTTTCACTGTATTTTTTATTTGCGTTAGGCCATAACTAATAAGTAAATATGCACGCATATATATTTTTTTTAGGTTTTCAAAAATAAAACGGACGAGAATTCGGTCTAGTGATGATTGATTGTTAATATCTAGTCAGGGTTCACTGAAATTGCATAAATGTTTTCACAATGCCACGATTATAAGCTTATAGTGCGCTGTCTGGTCGAGTGGTCAGGGCAAACGCGGTGCTGCACTAATCACCTTCTCCTGGATTTTCCTAGATTCACTTATCTTGAGATAAACACTTTAGGCACACTTGTAATTGCTAGTTCGATAATTAAAATCATATCTTTGATTCAATATCTGTCTGTGACAATCTATTTTTAGATGAAAAGCCTCTGCGGAGCAAGTTTACGATAAGGTGTCCGGTTTTTGGAGACTTGGGAGTTAGTAATATACAATGCATTTAAAGCCTCTATGAATTGGTTTGAATGCACTCCTCGGAGAAAATTTCTGTCCGTTATAAAGGAAAATCAACTTACATACAGGAACAAATTGCCAACGGTATGCTTATTCTACCTACAGAGAGCGTATCATTACATGGTGAACGAGTAGGTGGATTTATTGCAATAAAAGAAAGTGTTTAGAAATGAAAAGTGCTAAAATCCCTCAGGAATGAAACGGTACGCCAATATGGCCGCCGTTTCATTGTTTAGGTCACCCGTCTGCTTTGAATAAACCTTTATTTAATGATGATTTCTGCAGGAAAGTCCACTCTTCCAATTTTTATACCTTTATCTAATTTGTGTTCAATCTACTTTCATATAAATCACATCAACAGAACCATAGAAAGATTAGCTCAACAGCAATTTGAGTTTGGGAGAAAAAGATACGAAGCCAAATGTGCTAACCAAGCTGTATTGCAGAGCAACGTACAAGGAAACGGGTTTGTTTGTTGCCATTTCGTTGTTCCGCTTACCAGCGCTTTTGCTTTGGTATCTTCATTCTTCTCTTCACTTCTTTCCCTCCCCCCTCTGATTCTCACCCCCACTCCCACTCATCTAAGGTTTACAATTCCCAATACATGAAAATACCATCAAATGTCATCCTGGTTTATGGAGAATATTTTCCCAACCAACTTGCATGGTATACGAATGAACATCATTTTGTTGTGGCGATAACACATGATGTCTTCCTTCCCTACACCCATGGGCCACTTGTTCGACAGATGGTTTGCCGCGGCTAGTTTACGCTCTTTTCTGTCTGAGAGCGTGTATATCGGCCATTAGTTTTCAAGGCGCTAGCGAGCTACAATTTTGAGCAAAGCTGAATGACTTAAAAATATACTCAAAATAAAACTGAATGCAAGGGGACAAATCTAAATTAGAAATTGACATTAACCCTGGGCTAGCTTAGTTCTATGTTCAGCAACATAGCCTTGGATTTAATAACCTACTTCACGGGTGAAACATCCCTCAAAAGACATTTTCGGAATTATTTCATAGTTTTTATTGTTTCTTCACCAACCACAGGTTAACGTTACGCTTTGATAACCCGCTAAAGTGTGACTCATCCAATACTAAACTTTGTCCAAAGTGTCCAGAAACAAGAATAATATCGCTGTCTAGCGAAAGTTGCCATCCTTCAATAATAATATCGAATTCTATAACATATTGAAATTATTCAAATGCGGTTTCTCTGAGACAAAACATGCTAAGACATGCATATTAATTAGGTCAAGAAGCAAGTTCCCAGAAAAGATACCGGAAATACATTTTTTTTCTCGGAAAATAAGCAAGACTAAAAAATTTTCCTCGATAAGGCCATTTTTGTTGTTGTGACCAATAGCAAAGCCCTTTTGCGCCATTGATAGTATAGTTTGTCTAAATCAGAAGAACTCGGATGAAGGAATCTAAATCAAAAGGTATGATAATATAAATAAGTTGTTGTTATGACTGAGTCCTTTGGATTCCTTGGATGTAATCACGCAATGTCAATTAGAACTATTTAGCTTGAAGGGCAACGTTTGCGATACAAATTACATCTAAAAGACCATAAGTTAGTTGCTGACTACGAGAAAATAATCAGATATTATTCTTTTCTTTTAGTATGATCTATCACAGAAATGGTACACTGATGTTTTGAACCAAAAGAGCGTCAGCTTGATAAACCAATATTTTCTCTGATAGGCAAATATCGCCGAATAACATCGAGCGCTTTGCAAGCCACAGTGTTAGCGCTCTCAAAGAAGCCTTAGCTCATCTTTGTTATGAATGGACACTTTCATTTGTCTGCATATATAACCTTTACATCGACGCTTTCTCAATCTCCGCAGTATGTGCTTTAATTAAAATCTCCGGGAATTTTTAGTCAGCTATTTCATGTGACACTATACACATAGATTACGGAGTTCCTTGTTTAACCTATTCTTGCTGTCTGGTGCGTTTTTATACTTTACATCTAATACTCAAATGATTTTTAATGGACAGCTAATCCATCAAAGTAACATGTGAATGTGCATAGCCAGGAGTTTAAATGCCTGATGGATTGATTAATACTTTGAGGAGCCTTTGTACCTTGAATTTTAATGATCAAAGCTCTAAAAGCCTAATTCCTGGTTCTTAAGTCATCTGGCTTCATCAAGAACGTGTCTGCATTTAGGATCTTTTTTCCATCACTCAAAGTAAGGATCGAGTTTTCTTCAAATATGGCTTCGATGGTTCGAACACGGCTTTCACAGTACATTGTATCTTAGAGGTAAAAGGGCTCAGTAAGAGCTGGCATACGGTGATATCAAAATAAAGTCGATATGCAGTGTCAGCTGTTTGTCAGATAAGTATTCAGCCCACTTACGTAAATAGGAACGAAAACTAAAAACCTTAATGATGAGCTGAAGTCTGAACGAAAACTATGAAGTTGTAGATCTCTCAGTTTACTAATTTACTGCCTCAAAATTGCACATTTGAATCATCAAATGCACAATGATAAGATGATGATCTTTCGTGTCAGTTTTAGCCTTCAGGTTGAATTGAAACACAGCTCCACACCCTATCACAGTGTCTTTACACATCATTGTAGTGATTATCAAAACAGCCGAGTTGAGTTAAAGGCAGAGTTTTCATTTAAAGAAAGGGTAATACATTGTCGACGCTCTCGCAATCAGATGTATATCAATGAATTAAATAAGCTGCCGGAGATAAACGTAGAAACCTTGGCTTGTAAACAGTGTGCAAGTTCAAGAGTAATCATTTGAAATGATACATTTCAACTAACAATCTTGAAGCATTTGTTCTTTGCAATGTATTTACAGCTGTGCAAATCCCATTTATGCTCAGTGCCTTCAAAGTCAGCAAGTCAGAACTCGCTTCAACACGACTAATAACCGATTCCCTATAATATTAAGATATATAGCATCGAAAGCAAAACAGAGCAGACAAAATTTGGACACGTTTCAATTTTTTTACATTTTTTCTAAGTTGTAGTTTCGACTTGAAATTCGTCAACATCTAGAAGATGGCACAAGGTGGATATTCCTTTACTTTAGATGAGGAAGAAAGGTTAGTATCATGACAGAAGCTTTAGGTAGTGCTTTAAAAAATCTATACAGGGGCATATAGGAATTTATGTTTGCTCTCTTCTGCTATTGCAGCGAAGACATCGATGATTCCTTTATGCTTCCTTACATGGTAAGATGAACATACTCACTCGCTATGTTTTTTCCATTTTTTCGTGTAGGGAAAAAAGTCTTTAGATTAAAAGAAAATAACAACGACGAATACAAACATCAGTTATGCTACTTGAAAGAAGCCAACCGATCCTTCTCGAGACTCTTTTTTTCTGATCATCCAAAAATAACTGAAAAACATAAACAACGAGCTTTTCTGACTCAGATTACCTATACGTTCTACTGATTTCCTGCTTGTTATTATTAGGAGTAATTAAATGACTAGACCTGTTCGGTCTGAGGTATACGCCTCAAAAAGGCTCTCTTTTCCTGTTTCTTATTTATATCTGCTACATATTTTAAAATGATCACAGAATCCAGCTGTCACGTTCTTTAAGAATCGGGGTGACGAAAAATTCCGAGCAAAGATGTATGAAGAGGCTTCAGTACTTTATACAGCAGCGATGGAACAACCAGTCACGACCTTTGTGGATATCTCTATCATTTCCGAAAAGCTCTTTCGAAAGAGAGCAGAGTGTTTCTTTAAAATGGTTAGTGCAATTTCGTAGATTGAAGTTCAGTTCTTTTGTACTTTGCGCTTTTCCTCTCTCTCAATCCATACAAAATATTCAAATTTTAGCGGGGCTCCCACGCGCGCTTCTCGCGCGTGAGGCAGAGCCCCATACCCATGGAATATTGTCAACCTCTTTTCGTTTGGTTGTCACNTAGAACCCCGAGAAGGAGGAACTTAGACATTAAAGACAGGGATCTGGAAGTAGAGAAGGGTCGAGCAAGACTTCCTTAAACTCATCAGTTATAAATTATTTTTATTATTTTTATAGTAAATTTTTCTTATTATTCTTTTGCGTTGAACTTTTGAAGACTTTGCATTTCCTTTGTCAAGAGACTTAAAGTAAGATATAGACTACCTAAATAGCACATTATAATTTTATTGAAATTTAAAAACGATCTCTGGCTAAAATGATTAAAAATTACGAGCTTTCGACTGCCCGAAGGTGGAATTTCGGAGCTGGGATGGAATCGCAGACCAACGTTGTGTATAAAATTCCCTGTGCAAATTGTTCGTGGTGTTACATTGGGGAAACCAGTAGAGCTTTTAATACCCGAAAGAAAGAACATTTGAGAAATATGAAAACTGCGGCCAAAGGATCTAGAATTGCTAACCACGCCTGGTCCAACAACCACGCCATTGATTTTGAAAACGCGTCAATTGGTGACAAAGGCACCTTTAGAACCAGAAAAACATTAGAAGCGTGGCATACCAAAGTGACACCTAACGCAGATAACAATTCTTGCCCGTTACCTAGACGATACAACATTCTTTTTAACAAATATTCATAATAATTTACATTCTCATTATCTCGCAGTTCATGTCTTATTTAAATTTTCTCATCGCTTTCTTATCATTCATTTTACCCGTTAAAGACTGCAGTTCGGGCAATCGAAAGCTCGTAGTTTTAAATTATTTTAGCCAGAGGTCGTTTTTAAATTTCAACTATGTTTCGTCCTGGCTGCGGCCCTTCAATATTTTCATATAATTTTATTATTCATAGCTATATAATTATGTAGTTTAGGTTTGTGATATTTTTCCGTAATAATAATAATAATAGTAATAATAATAGTGGTAATAATAATAATAGTAATAATGATAGTAGTAATAATAATAATAGTAAAAAC